AGCAAAACCTGGAAATCTGATAAATCCCGGTTTTAAATCAGCAAGCATTTTGAAAAGATCCTGTCGAAATCCATGTCCCTATAGCAAGAACAAAAGACTTTATAAAATCTAATAACTACTTAAAAAGTTATAAACAAATATTTATATATATCAAGAAATAACCGGCTCACTAGGGCGAAAAATTTCATGCAAAACCACATAAAAACTGGCTTTGAATTCGACACTTTCGGGTAATTAAAAAACCAATTTACCTCGTGAGTGCTCAAAGGCATAACCGACACTTGATCGAGCCATATCGTGCCATTTTTGCTCGTCGTTAAATGCAATCTCGAATTAGAATCAGTGCCTTTTGCTACTAATAGAACATCCTTTCTTGACCAGCTTTTAACATCTTCACCACTGCATATTAATAACTCAAACTAAAATATACAAAACAAGAAAATTAAAAATAAAAAAAGAAAAAATGGAATAAATAGTTTCCATATAATAGTAAACCCGAAGCAATGCTTACTATATAACAGCCGTGGCTAACATTTGCAGCCCATTTGATCGGAACAATGATACAGAAAGTTCGATCGGCTGTGAAGACCGAACATAAAGGGACACTTTGTATATCTTTCCTTGTTCAATATTCTGTGACCCAAAAAAAAAAAAATGTAACAAGATCAGAATATAATGCTTTTTGCAAGAATTTTTCGAAGGACGTTATTTATTTTTTAATCAACCATTCCCCAAAAGCCCGGGTTATAAACTCCAACTCCACCAACTGGACACATATTTACACCATTTTCTTCACACAAAACATCCAGTTTAAGCGCGATTTTATTTCGGTCAAAGCATGAAGAACGATCAGTCGAGACTATTATCGAGGACTCGTTTCCAATAATGATCCACGGACTTATATTCGATGGTGTATTTTGACCTCCAGCTTCAAAACCTGCAAATATAAATTAATGAGCATTTGAAAGAATCACTTCTTTTTGTTATATCATATATATTTCAAATAATTCACTTCAATAACTCTCGGCATGAATAAAAATATCGTTATAATCTTGAAATTTTGAAAAATTTCAACTTCTATAAACCTCTGTTGCTGATAAGCTCTGCCCATAATCCTCCGGCACCGGCATGATTAATTTCCTGATCATTTTTAATAATTAACCGATTAACTCAAAAAGCACTTGGTATAAATTCGGAAGGTTGTATATAATTTGATAATAACCTCAAAGCTACTAAAATGACTGTGTTAAAAAACAAATATACGGATACTCGATTTTCACATGAGCATGATGTGTAAAAAACTAAAATGTCAAAAATGATGATCCATTTGTGCCTAAATCAGTCCACAGACAACACATCTAAAGGCACTGCCATTAGCTTAATTTGGAAAAAAAAAAAGAGAAACTCTCTAAGGCTTAAAGTTTAGATTAATTACCAAAAAGAGAAGGGAAAAAAAGAACTCTTTTGATATGACAAATTACAAAATATCTGTTTAAAGACCAGATTAAAATCCAAAGGGTATTTTCCCTTTAGTTTCTCCTAATAAGAATGCAATAAACCTCACCTCAAATGATATACCAAACATCGTCTGTGGTATCTTTCTCGTAGATTGTTCAGAAAAATTTACGAAAAACGATGCTGTCTGAGTCGAGTTAATCCCATTTGCACAACACTGATTTGAAATGCAAAGTATAACAAGCAAAAGAAAATGAAATAATGTACGAAAAGCATAATCCGAGGCCATCTCTCTTTCACTAGACTCGATGTGGCTGTTTTCTGATCACTACAAACAATAAANAAGGATGTGATGAAAGATTGAACTGATTTTGCTATATATATTTGTTAAAATTTTGTAAACAAAACAAAAAATAGTAAAAGCTTAAAACAGAATAACTACCTTACAGCTTTTCTAACAGCTTGAAGAATTTGTGTAAGAAAGATAAGCATTGATGTCAAAAGGCAACAATTATCACAATTTAAAATCTCTGTTTTACTTTTATCAAGTAATACTTCATATCCTTTTACTAAACAGATGATAATACTTTCATATATATTTGAGAACAAAATTTTATTTTTACCAACTGAGTTTTACTTGTTTCAAGAAATATTTAGAAATTTATCAAATAACTGAAAAAAATGACAACTATAGTTTATGTTGTTTATAAAGAACTACCAAAAGGAAAAAAGTTCTCATTGTCTAACAGATTTGACATAATATTTGGAGCCCAAACAGGAGAATCAATTGATAAACAAAAACTCAGTTAATATTATTATTCTCACACAATCACACGATCTTGATGAACACCGAGTGTGTGTGTGTGTGTGAGGGCAATCAAAAGACCCAAAATTTAAAGAAAGGCACAAAATTTATACAAGAAAAAGCAAAAATTTTCCCAGCAGAGCATTTTCAGAATTCAAATTACCTGCAGATTAGCAACCAGAAAACCAAATCTTGATTTGGGCTCTCTCTTTTTTGCAGGAGATTTTGTGGGGGAAAAAAAAAAAAAAGAGGGAAAGACGGTTAAAACTGGCTTTTACAATATGATTCTATCTCACTGAGTCTTGAGGGAGTTTTCTTGAGAGTAACAAATGGAGTAAAGGTGTGACTTTTATCTAATTTTTCGACTTTGCTTTAAATAGATTTGATCTATTTTGCTTTGAAGCAATAGATGAAAGTTCAGTCTTGGCCACACTTATCCCTTTTTATTATCATTTATCTCTAAACTCTTTTATTTATTTCTTTTTAAGCTAAATGCTTTGAACCACCATAAGTTTTCTCACCATAAAGAGCCTAAACAAAGTGCTAAATCATAACTCTTTATACTAAAATATTTTAATTTTAAACATAAAATGAACAAAAATTTAATATTTTATGGTACAAATACATATTTATATTCAAAATATCCGAAGAGTGAATCCACCAAATATCATTATTCATCTGATAACTAGAAATGGTGTTGGCCTTTGGTGATTTTTAGTTAAGTAACTAATTGAATTAGTTCATTGATTTCTAATATAATTATTGTTTGGAGAAAAAAAATCTAATTGAATTATTGGATGATTGGTCCAAGTTTGTGCAATTACAAAGCTATTGAGACACTTCAAAAGTAAATAACCATTATTATATGCTTATATTAAGCAAAACTAGTATTCGACTGTGCATTTGCACAGATATAAATAAATTATTGTGAGTCTGTATGCATATAATGATTAATTATTTTTCTTTCATTTTTTTGCAGACCAAATTTACAATTAAAAGAGTTGTAATATTTTTTTTTTTAAAATTGCGTTTATCTGATTGGATGTAATGTATATTTTGGTACGTCTTTTATTTGTGAATTATTTATTATTTATTTAGGAATTTCAAATATATTTTTTATTTAAAAAAAATTAAATGTAACAACAATAATAACATCTAATCACATTATATGGTCAACTGTCATTAATCAAAAGTTTAAAATGATTTTTGTATTTTTGAAGTGATGAGTATTAATTATTTAATGAATAAATGAAAGATTAAATACATCAAAATGTAACGGTTTTTGGAGGGAAAATTGTTAAGTTGCCACATAGGTAAAATTAAATAGGTTTTATTAAATGTTATTAGCTAGTAATTATATATATATAGATTCATCGATATTGAGGGTTGAGATATGGGAATTATGAATTATACAATCTTTAACGGGGTTTTATAATTTTCAATATAGGTTTTGTTGGAGTTAAGCTGAATTCCAAGTTATTTTAAAATTATTTATCCATATGCGTGTGTGATGTTGTTATTTCATGTAATATTTTATCAATACTTTTTAGGTATAAATAACATCAATCTGTTATATTTTGTCATTTTGCACATAATTTAGAAATCAGGTAAACAATTTACTTCCAACTTAGGACTAACATTCTTTGACTGAAAACCGAAAATCGAACCGGACAGAACTGAACCGACGAAAAAAAAAAACCAACCCGTACCGATTCATTTATAATGGTAACCGATTTTCGGTTACCGATATGTTATCGGTTCGGCATCGATTCTGAAAACCATAAAGGTTCGGTTTTACCAAAACGAACCGAACCGATAAGGAATTAAAAAAAAAAAACTTAATTTTAATAGTTAATAACTTAAATACTTAACGCCAAATTACTATTAAGTAATCTATACTCATATAAAAAGTCATCCTATTTACTAGAAATAGTAGGCAGAAAAGTCAAAGGTAATTAATGCTTGCTGGAAATAGAATGATATTAATTACAGATTTCTTTTGGTACTAGTACAGAGCCCGTGCGATGCACGGAGTGCACAATTTTAAGGCTATTTATCCAGGCTTATAATTATATACATGAATAAAGAAAAATGTAAGGGATATATATGGTACGTGACCCGTGCGACGCACGAGATATATTTATTTAGAGAGTATTATATTATAAGATGCAATATTCAATAAAAGTTTATAATACGCAAGAAAATTGTACAATGTGCAATAAAAGTTTTATAATATTCAAGTAGAGTCTTAAAATCTCTTGTACATTAAGACTACTGACAAAATAATATTTAATCAATGAGTTTCTTTTCCTTGTAGCCAAATTGTGAATGTGATTTGAGGAGTACAACAAATCGATATATACCTGACTTGCTTTTTTCATTGTAGTTTTTTTCTTTTTTTTTTTAATAATGAATTTAAAGATATTCTAAAATATAGCAAAAATTAATTTTTTTATTACAATTAGGAATTTTACTAAATATAAATCCTCAATCTATGGTGTTAATCAACGTTTAAATCTAAAAAATTAGGAATTTTTACCTCTTTTAATCAACGTTTAAGTCTAAAAAATAATAGAGTTATTATAAGTTTTTTTTCTACATCTTTTAAAACATTAAATATGGGCATGTTAGGGCTATTGTAAAATAATTAATATATTATCTCACTAAAATATTTATACTAATAAAAATTTAATTTTAGCATATAAATTTATTCCATGATATAAGAGAAAGTAACAGTTTTACTTATTGTTGTTCACCATATAATATTTAATTATTATTTTATTATATAATAAAAAAAAATATTGTTAAATAGTATAGTAGAATGTTATAAAATTATATGATTTTTTTTACAATATGGATTTAATATTTTTTTATGATTTGATAATATAAACAAATCTATACTTAACTTTGACAAATAAAACAAATAAATACTTTAGTAAGTATTTAATGTATATATACTAAATAGGAATATATTTGGTATAATCAAATACCAAATATAATCAAATAAGTCAAAGTGTACATTTTTATTTGGTATTTGATTTTTTTATTATTAAAATCTTTTTATTATACTTACCTTTTTAAAATAAAATAAATAAATAAATAAATTAAATAAATAAAATATTATAATACCAAAATAGTAATGACATTTAATGCAGTTGACTTTTCTGGATAATAAATGTAGTAAATAGAATATCCTTTTATATAATATAATACGGAAATAGTAATGTAATAAATGCTGTTGACTTTTCTGGCTACTTAATTTGGTAAATAGTACCCCCTTTAATATAAGTATAGATTTATAGGCTTGACATTAAATATTTGTTATGGGATAAAAATCAGAACCGATTTTTTTACCTTTGCTGGAAAAATCAAAGGTAAGTATAGATTTGTTTTATCCCATAGCATCGGTTTAGTTAAGAAAATCCCATCAAATCAATTTTATATGTCAAGCCTATGAATAAAGATTTAATCGGTTAAAATTAAATCCTTATTTCACGTCACCCATAATAAAGTAGATGTCAAACCTAAATTGAAGGGTTTAGTTGTCTATATAGTCATTGATTTACGTAAATACATCTAATGTTTAAAGTTTGTGTAGATTGAAAAATCCTTCTTATCTTTTTATAAAAAATCTTATTATTATTGTATGAAAAATCAAACTCATAATGTTGTGTACAAGGTGGTCTTTAATAATATATGATTGTTTGTTTGTCGAATACTATCTTATTGTATAATTTTCCTGCGTATTATAAAACTTTTATTGAATATTGCATCTTATAATATAGTATTTCTCAAATAAATATATCACGTGCCTCGCACGGGTCACGTACTATATATATCCCGTACATTTTTCTGTATTCATGTATATAATTATAAGTCTGGATAAATAGCCTTAAAATTGTGCACCCCGTGCATGGCACGGGCTCTGTACTAGTTAGTAGTAACTTAGAAGTAATAATTATGACCCTCTCTTATCAAAGCCTCACCAATTAAGCAAAAGAAAAAAAAAAAAATATCGGCCCTCTCATCTCATTCTCACAGAGTCACAGTCTCGCCCATTCACAGAAAAAAAAAAAATCGACCCTCTCATCTCACGCTCACCCATTCACAGATCGTGCTCCTCAGTGAGAAACCAGATCTCTCGCGCTCGATCCTCATTCTAATCGGCAACGACTCCTTCTCTTTGGCAGGCGAAACTCTCAGTGGAAGCATCACAAAGTCAGGTTCTGAAATCGTGAAATTCGTGGTATTCAAGTACTTTTCACTTTTCAAGTATTGAAATAATGAAATTCGTTTCCCTTTTCCTGGCACTAAATCGTCATCGACCTTCCAAGAGTGTACAGTTTTTGATATTGGTGTTTGCCCTATTTGGGATTGAAGAGACTATGTGATTTGTGGAAATTCTACTAATTGTATTGAACTCTGGAATGAGATTTCTTGTTGAAATGGTGCTCGGTTTATCGGTTGTTTTCGGGTAGTAGATTCAGCTTTCAGGGACGCATCTTGATAAAATTGGCTATCGATTTAATGTAAGACTATTGAGTATGCAACTCATATTTTCATTTTTCTCGAATGTCAAGTAATTTTGATCTCAGGAAGTTTATTAGGTTAATTTTGGTTTTTCCGGTAAGAAACCATTATCGAACCGAGTTATCGGTGACCGAATTTTCGGTTTACCAATTACAATCAGTTTGGTAACGGTTTCATATTTGTAGTTACCGAAATAATCAGTTCAGTATCGGTTTGGCCTTATCGGTTCGGTAACCAAACCGATACCAATCCTATTCCAACTCGTTGAAACCATTTGCTTGTTCTCAGTACCCATTGACCAAAAAATGAAAACACTGAATAGACTAAATTGAAATAAAATTAAAGTAAAATTATGTTAATTTGAAAGGATTTCAGTTAACTGGTATCAGATGTACTGATGACCATGAAAAATAAATCACCAATCCAAATTAATGAAATAATAATCAGACCATATTATTGTAATTGTTGCCATATTAATTTGCATCTATTATATGTGTCAGATTATTAAATTAAGAAAATAACTTCTATTTCCAAATTTTCCTCTTAATGCATCAGAACTGAAGACATGGACGATTGTGACGTCTTGATTTACAGCGGTCAAGGTGGGGTCCAGAGGAGGGACGGTCAAATGATTGACCAGAAGTTCGAGAGGGGAAACCTCGCTTTGGAGAAGAGTTTGCACCGCGCGAACGACGTTCGTGTCGTGAGGGGTATAAAGGACATTTGCACGACCGGGAAGATTTTACGTGTACAATGGCGTTTACAGAATACAAGAATCGTGGGCCGAGAAAAATAAGTTGGGCTGTAACGTTTTTAAGTATAAGCTCGTCCGGGTGCCCGGGCAGCCCGAAGGGTTTTCGCTGTGGAAATCAATTCAGCAGTGGAAAGATGAGATTATCTCTCGACCGGGAATTATTTTGCCCGATTTGACATCGGGAGCAGAGAGCTTTCCTGTTTCGCTTGTAAACGATGTGGATAGTGAAAAGGGGCCCGCGCATTTCGCGTACGTCTCGACTTTGAGATACACTCGGCCTTTTTCTGTAACTAAGCCCTCGTTCGGTTGTCACTGCGTAGGTGGATGCCAGCCTGGCGACTCGAACTGCCCGTGCACCCAGAGAAATGACGGTGGTCTCATTCCTTATTCGTCTATTGGGGTTCTTTTAAGGATCAAATCGCCGATATATGAGTGTGGGCCCACATGCGCGTGCCCTGCGAACTGCCGTAATCGAACTTCACAGACAGGGGTTAAGGTCCGTTTGGAGGTGTTCAAGACGAAAAACCGAGGATGGGGGCTCAGGTCGTGGGACCCAATTTGAGCGGGCAGTTTTATCTGTGAGTATGCAGGGGATGTAATCGAGGGGGGCGTTTTGGAAAATGAAAATAATGATGATGACAGTTATGTATTTGATGCGACTCGTGAGTACGTGCCTTTGGAGCCTGTTTATGAACTCTTCTGGTTCGAAGAAGACTTCATTTCCAGTTGTTATTAGTGCTAAGAATAATGGGAATGTGGCTCGTTTTATGAACCATAGCTGCTTGCCGAACGTGTTTTGGCAGCCGGTTTTGCGTGAGGGTGATAATGAAGTTTTTTTGCACGTGGCTTTTTTTGCTGCACGTCATATTCCACCCATGCGGGAGTTGGCGTATGACTATGGGAAGGTTGCGAATGGTAATGGGGAAAAAGGGAAGAAGAAGTGCTTGTGTGGGACCACAAAGTGCAAGGGTTACTTTTATTGATGGATTTTGGGATAAAGGTTAGATATTTATGTGCTTATGG